TCCTCCAGCGATCTATATAAGGACTCAAAGGTAAGTGATGTACTCGCCATTGATGTTAATACCGTATCTTTTCCAGTACAGAAGCTTGAAAACGTCTTCCAATGCAGCGATGAAGAGTTTCGGGGATATAACGTCAATACTATTTGCAAAGGGTGTGTATGTGGTCTACGGTGCTAAAGCCTTTTCGGAAATTGGTTTCTTCGGAAGGCTGGAAGTCGTCAAGTCTCCATGCGAGACGATTCGTAATGACTCTCGAAAAAAGCACGTGGACGCGGCTCAGAAGGGAAATCGGTCAGTTGTTCTTCAAGAGAGCGTTGTCGCCTTTCTTGAAGAACAAGACCACCACACTTCTGCTCCACGCCTTCGGTGTAGTGCCACCATGGAGGATGGAATTAAAGAGCATCTAAAGGACTTTAAGTACCGTTTTTCCACCCGCTTTCAGAAGCTCTGCTGTTATTCCACCCTCACCCGAGAACTTGTCGTTTTTAAGGTGCTGATGATCCCTTCTAATCTCGGTCAGATTGACGCACAGAATATCATCGGAATAGTATCGGATAAGATTTGCTCTTGGATCGTTACTCACACTTGCGTATGACTCCAACGATGATGTGAACAGCTGCCCATAGAACTTCTCAATCTCACTCAAAATCTCGGGTGTCCCGGAAACGATGCTGCCACACTCAGTCTTCACCTTCGACAGTTGGCTCTTTCTGGCAGACAGATCTCTGGCAAAGACATTTGAGCTATGGTACCGCTCGATCTCTTCTTCAATTCAAGCTGTATTGAAGTTGCGTAAGTCCCGCCGCATGCATTTGTAGATCTGTCTGTTCAGTTGCCTGCATACTGTCAAATCTGCTGAAGACTGCAGCTTCATTTCCCGTCTAATAGCCATGATATTAAAAGTGTGAACGGAGACTTTTTGTTTTCTTCTGGGGCGGGTCTTTTAGAACTTAACTCCAACCGCATGGACAATTTCCACGAGCTTGTCATTCATATCGTTTACTACATTGCAGTCTTCTAGGCACTGAAAATGGTTTTTTAACTCGAGTTGAAATGTTTCGGGACTTTGGATCAGAGCACGAGGGGGACGGAGCGTTGACTTCATTAGACGAGACTCTCCAACTTAACGTTTAGGTTCAGTATGCCTCTCACCATTCGGTGATAGCTGCCGATTTTCACTGAGACTTCACTGAACAGTTGTTGTCTAGTCGTCATAATGAAGTCAATCTCATTTTTTATCGAACCGTCGGGGCTCGACCAGGTCAACTTCCTGTGGGGCCGCTTCAGGCCAGCTACTGGCCCCTTGAATTCCGTTAACCTATTCCAAATTTCCCTACCTTCAGCTCACCATTCTCTCTTGTGCATAGTTTTGTTCCCATTATCACCGTATCGTGGGGTTTGGAGGAATGCATGGCTCGGCATCGGGATGTGCTGAGGTTGGTGCGTAAACCTGTTTGACCTTCAGCGAATATCGTTTGATGATTCTGTGTACAAGGGACGCAACCCTCGTCAACACACTCCCAATCTTTTTAAAATTTCGAACATGCTCGTCAAATTTCATTTTAACATGCATTTTATCACCATGTCATATTATGGAAAATATCTTTATGTAAAAAAAAGGTCAGGGTTTCTTCGTATTTTGTTTGTATAAAATGGAAGAAAAATCTCTTTGGTTGTATTGTTTGTATCTGGTTGGTACTAATATCAATAAAGAGATGGCATTATGAAAAACAAAAATAAAAAGTAAAAAACACTTTCCCGCCATTTTTCAATTATTTTTCTGTCCGCCAAAATGAGTGAATCTTACGAAGAAATTCGATACATTCTGAAGTTTTATTACAAAAAAGGGAAAAATGCGCACCAAGCCGCGAAAAGCTTTGTGACATTTATGGACCTCATGCAGTGTCAGTAAAAGTAGCACAAAGTTGGTTCAAGCGTTTTCAGTCCATCGATTCCGTTTTTGAAAAAGTGGACCAGTACGAATATTATGTACGTATATAAAGTCATACCTTATATACATCTCCTGCGCACAGGTCTACTTTTTTTCCTGAGAAGGTTTTAAGGGGATTGTAAATCTGTAAATTTTTATATAATAATGGATAACATTTTTCCAGCCGTAAGCATAGTCTGATTTTCATAATTTTTAGGAATGTTGTAGATATGTATATTAATTTCCTTAAATTTTTGTTTGACCGACCCCTTATCTTTTAAATTATAGATTGCTCTTATGGCCCTCATCTGGAAAACATGTATAATTTCAATGTCAGTCGCGTGTCCCCATAGCACAATACCATACGACATTATGCTGTGGAAATAGCTAAAATAAACTAGTCTAGCTGTTTCACCGATGCTAAGATTTTATTCTTTTATACAGTATACGAAGCGTGCATGCTAGTTTAGGTATATGGGGGCCCTATTGAAGCTTTGCGTCTAAAGCATTGAGTTATAAATGTACTACGTACTAGAGAAGCCATTGCAAACAAAAATTGTGTCCTACTCTATGTCTTTGCGCATGCGCGGGAGTAGTAGTCGAGCATGGGCGAAGACTTTAATTTGATATAAAATAAGATATTTATATAAAATAAATATAAGAATTCAATATAAAATATCTTAATTTAATCTAAAGAAACATTATATTTCTAAATAAAATGTAATAATAATTATTTCATGGAATTCACAAATCTTCAATTTACGCAATATTTAGTTTGTATGGATTGCACTACAGTTCAGTTGAACATAGTCAATGTTCGGAATGGCTTCTCTAGTACGTAGTACATATAACTCAATGGTCTAAAGTGATTCAAAGAAAAATGGTGGTATCGAAACGAGTCAGCTCCTCCCCATTTAAAATTACGTTAGTATTTAGTTGTTTGACATTTGAAGTTATGAATTTCATACATTTAATTTTAGTGCCATTTAAATGCTAAATTATTATCGTTAAACCAATTTACTAATATAAATTTAACCTTAAGTATGTATTTACGTGAGGTAATTTCGAAGTTCCTAATGGACGAAATGGCTCGTCACATTAAAATTTAAATGTTACTTGCCTCATTAACAATTTTCCAGTCATTGACCGAAATTTATGTTTATTGATTTCCTGAGTAATTATTGTTTGCATTTCATGTACACGGCAATCTCACAATTGATCCCTTATTCACACGACCTCAAGGTCCAAAAAAGAGTAGGAGAGCAGCGTCCAAGAAACGAGACATCGTAAATTCAGAATTAAATCAAAGTTAAAATATTTTTATACACAATTTGACTTTAAAAAGCTTTGAATGTCTCTCTTTTTGAAAATTACGCCATTGCTTCAATAAGTCCTTGTAAGAAGATCCGGCTTACAATAGTACGAATATTTTTTTCAAAAGTTACAATTTAAACTTGTAATATATATTTCCGCAGGACCTGATCATAGTGACCAAGTGTATGCGCAAGCACAGGTGCACTCTCTATTCCCTCACTCTCATGCTTCGGCGGGACGTCAGTCCGATACGAGTGAGACGATACGTAGAGAGATCAAGCGCATATCCAAAGGCTTTGCGTGCTTTCAGAGGCACGGGGTGAGAAACCGCCAACTTGCTGACTCCGGACAACTACTAAACAACTCAATAACTGTTTTTTTTTTTACCCAACCCGGGATTCGAACCCGGAACCTCATGATCAGTAGTCGTGTTTACGATCACTAGCCGAGCGAGGTATATATATATATATATAAAAACTAAAATTTATTTGTATATTTATTCTTATCCTATGAATTCCTATGCTATTCATCCGATTACAATGAAACTTTGGTGGGCATGCTTTACAAAAAAAGCAAGAAAAACGATTGGTAAATCTTACTGTGCAAGCCTTAAGCGTATACATTTTTTTAAGTTTTCGCTAACAACAAACTAACAACTCAATAACTGTTTTTTTTACCCGACCCGGGTTTCGAACCCGGGACCTCATGATCAGTAGTCGTGTTTACGATCACTAGCCGAGCGAGGTATATATATATATAAACTAAAATTTATTTGTATATTTATTCTTATCCTATGAATTATTAAATACCTTATTAAATATTATAACTTCCTTTTTCCCGATAATTTTATGTCAAACTTCAATTTGAAAAAGTTTGGAAAATCCAAAAGTGCACGACTCAATGCTCATATGATCATCATATTATCATCATTCAGGTCACTCCATAAAGTCCAAGACGTATTTAAGTATATTTATATATAAATCCTACATACTTTTGGTACGTACGTTTAGTACTATTATTTATTCTGGGCTTTTCAAATATTGTAGTAAGAATTTATGATAATAATAATAATCAAGTATGTACCAAATTAGGCGCAGGTATATTCTGCTAGGGCCTAAAAATTTAGATTCCAACGTTTTATCGCATGAAATGGTATCTAGCAATCAATTATACATCAATTATACATATAAATCTTAATATTTTTTTCATATTTTTTTAACCGATCAATTGCTATTTTAGTAGCTATTATTTTTAATTCATTAATTTTAACTTTCTTTAATTTTATAGGTATTTAGATTATAGTTTTTTAACAAATATGGCTAATTGGTCTGAAATAAATGAATTATTATTATTATTATGGGGTATCTATAAAGTTTTCTCATCTGGTTGGGCAGTATAAATATATAATTGTAAAAGAACATGGTAAATATACATAAATAACAATAAAGTAAAATAAATACATATACAATATCCTTGACAGTGCCCGGTCCATCAGCACAATATAAGGCTTATTCGCATGAATATTATCATTATTATTAATCTTGTCCGTCATCAATAATTCGCCGGTCGATAAACTTATCTATTATTTAAGCTTCGGTGAACAAAAATGTACAAACGCGGACTTAACGCCTTAAGGCGTTCTCTACCAGTCGACCTATAAGTAAGCAGAGAACAACACTTTGTAAATGTAACACTTTAATAGTTAAAATTTAATTTTTCTTTGAAATAATATGTATAAATAAATGCTAACACATACCTTCAGGTATCTTGATAGCGGTGCCAAGGTTGATCTGCTGTAGGCGGGCCAAGGCCGCTTGCTGCAGCGCGCGACGCTCCACCTCGCTGAGGGTCAGGATCGAGGTGTCTGTTAAGCGCACGCATCGCCCGCTGCCGTCTGCCCAGCAACAGCTGCCCTGCACAAGGCGTTACGTCATCACACCACCGTATATACGAGAACTGAAGTTCACTGCTCATTTCATCAACAACATCATCGCACTTAATTCAAATATTTTAGATTAAACTCAAAATAAATTTATATTAAATGAAAATAAATAAAATAATGCGGTGTGTCATGGTGATGATTTGAAAATTGACATGGAAAATAAGAAATTGTCAGTAAACCCAATCTTATCTTGCCACATTTATTTTCTTTAAGGCTACGCTGCAGTACCTACTATTTACTTTTTGGACCTCTGTAAAACTAATGAATTGTAATTATTACTAAAAAATTAAACAATTTTAAAAAATTGATATGTGTAAATAATAGTGTGTGAAGACAGAAAACAATAATAAGCCACTAAATACCTTTCAGGAACTCCATAAGGAAGCAGTATAAAAATTATATCAAATGAAAAGGTTTATTATTTTTTTTAGGTAATGTTGAGAACATATTTTATAAATTTGTTTTCATTTTTACTTTTGGCAAAATAAACAAAATCGAAAATTCTACTCGCTTTTGGTAGTGATTTGTTTGACAAATACGAAGAGTGTGCTAACGTTATCATACCTACACTACTAGAAGACGGCCTTAACGAGGTTTGTGAACAAATTGTTAACATTGTTCTAGAAGTTATACATTATATTATGGACAAAAACATTAAGGATATATTATTATATGCAAGTATATTAGTGTAACTAAATGGTAGGGTGATAAATAGTGTGTAGATAATAGATTCCGCGGTGAGGACACGTAGAAAGAACGAATGAGGAAAGAGTGAAAAATCAAATGTATGATGTAAAAGTGAGTAGCAGTCTCCATAACGCGACGACAGCGCCGCCACACGTCCTTCACGGAAGTTTATCGACCGAATTTATGATATATTGACAAATTATAGTGATAATATATAGGTGAGAAATTATGAATGTGAAAGAAGCGAAATATGTGTATCAGCGAAATATTATCTGTTTCTGCAATAGTAAGCTAGCTATCTAATATACACATATACGTCACGCTTGTAATTTCCGAGGGTGTGAGCAGAGTCCAAAGAGCAGCGAGGTCACTCGGACCACGTTAAGTAAAAAAAAATTGGGTATATATGTGAAAAAAGTAATGGGTGGCTAGCCCATCGCCTAAACAACCCAACATCTCATTAGTCATCTTTTACGACATGCTAGACAAATAACGCCCTAAGAATATTATTTTTTGTCATTAAGTAATAAATACGCGAATTATAAGCCCCAAACCAACAATGGACACCAACCAGCCTTATTAATTAAACTAAACAGTGTGACAACAGGTGAGTTACGATTAAACAGACCTTGAGACGAATAGAGCAATAGAAAATATATTTTTTTTTATAGAATCGGGTGACAAACGAGCACACAGTCCACCTGATGGTAAGTGGTTACTGTGACCCATAGACACATATATCTATCCTCAATAAAGACTCAAAATGCAGATGCGTTGTCACCCGTGAGGACTAAGATGGAATGCCTCTTGTCCAGTAAAAAGGGTCTCCGGTTCTATAAAAATAATAAAAACTTACTGTTCCCCGCGACTTCGCCCGCGTGAAATTTTTTCGCGCTTAACCCCAAAATAAAAGCCTAAGTTACTACTTATAACATCAGCTATCTGCCAGTGAAAGTCCCATCCAAATGGGTTCACAGGTTTTTGCGTGATGCGTGTGCACGCCAAAATAGTTCGCAGATGACAGATTATTTCAGGCTTACTTAACATTTATCGTTATAAATTGGCTAATTTACACAATATCTTTATGAATTATTGCTTATTTGTTATTCCGATGTATGTGCTATATTATTGTAAAGTTTTATTAATATCCATTCAGTAGTTTATGTGTGAAAGAGTAACAAACATCCTTACATCCTCACAAACTTTCACGTTTGTAATATTAAAAGAATAATAAAAATATATAATAATATATGTCATAAAATAATATATAAAAATAAATTATAAATATAATAAACTGGGCAATCAATTTTACTATCAAATAATATAAATAGAAATATATTTGAAAAAAAAAATTACGCTCAGAAGAAAGTCGAGGAATTTATTTCTCATTAAATTCATTTATCTTAGTAGAATTATGTTTTTGCGCTTTCACAACCCTCAACGAGAAAGTACTCTCCCTTGGCTTGCTTTAATTAAATGACCACATCACCCAGGCAATCTGGTCATTTAATTATACCTAACAACAAGATATGTTGGTAGGGTACATTTGTTCAAAAACCAATTTCTAGTTTTCGTGTCTGGATGTACTTTGCAGTTATTTGTGCAGTGAATTTTAGAAATATGATAAAGGTGACAAACGAGTACATAGTGCACTTGATAGTATGTAGATATTGTTGCCCAAGAATATCTACATCTAATCGGGATTAAGAATTAAAATGCAGATGCGTTTTCACCCGTGAGGATTGTTGTTAATAGAAAAATATTTTACACATTAATTTTGACAATGTGAAACACGAAATTGTCTCTGAATAGCGGCCTAATATCCTACATGAGCCTTGAGATTGAGTCACCGTGGAGTGTCTCACATGCGTTTGAAAGGTGACTCACACTTTTGCTACCGGTACGTTCGCTGTTAGTTGCTGGCTAGTCGCGTCTCCTTCAACTACGAATCTCGTCCAAATGGCGACGGAGCATGAACTACGAGTAAAAATTTATTTGTAACATAAACAGAAATAGCGAAGGATGTCCAATTATATATAATTCATATTTATGTATTTCTATCATCGTTCAGTATACAACTAGCTATACATTTCAGTGACTCAATCCAGTAAGTCTAGTATTTTCTTTTTCCTTAAGCGAGTGCGAGACTTCTAAAACTGAGATTGCTTATTTACTTTTATACTAAAATTGTGGCAAAATAGACAATTCTTCCTACAGTGGTAGGTAGATACGCCTTTTATATCTAGAACATTGAAAGAAAGACCATCAGCAGTCTTGAAGATCATCAGTGTAGGTACCCACCTCTTAACACTTTCACTGTCCGGTTTCCAGACACAATAGCATGACAACAATAGCAATGACCTATATGTAGTGCACGGGACAGCAAAAGCGTTAGGTATTTATGCCGCCAAATTGCAGCGCTTGCACTTGTTGTGGTCTAATCAATACCAATAGAGTCTTAGTATAATGTTAGGCTATGCGGAATTCCATCTTATTTCACAAGATGACCTGTTCCGTGACCTGTTAGGTGAGCTGTTCGTTTGTCGCTTCAATGTTAAATAAAAAAAATATGAAGGCCTATGTGGACTCACGTGTTGTCCCTAATCTACCACAGCATTAACTCTTTGCGGCTGCTTTGGCTCTGGACTCAATGGACCTCCCACAGTTGAGATTCGGAGAAAATTGAACCCCTAACAACTGAAGGCGGTCAGCGTACTCCAAGGATACATTCCGGAAAGTAGGAGCCAGGGTTAGCGGGCTCCTTTTAGCGGTGAAAATACACGCTTGTGTTTTGGAGGCGATGAATCTCACGTGATTGGTATCGCCCAATTCGGAGATTGCCTGTAATGTGAGATTCGCACGCTCAACTATAGTACGAGTATCTCTTTCGGACTGGATTCGATCTCGATCATAATATTCCAAGACTAATTATTATAGATAGTTGCTACCTTTACAAATGCGGATATATTGTAAACGGACTATAGACTTTATTAAACGTTACTTTTGCCCGAAAAAGATGTAAGTTAATCTACATCTTCCCCTTAAGAAATTTTCTTCAATATCATATTATGTTTAAACAAAATATACGACAATATTTTTGTTTTACACTAACCGTAAAACAAAAATATTGTCCTATATTTTGTTTATCCAACATGGCGACTCTGTGTGTACGTGGCGAAAAATCTTTGCAAACATGATTCACTCAACTATTATAATATTTAATATGTTTTGTCTGAAAGCACGCCTACGCGCAAACGGCTTTTGTGATTTCATCTAGGAAGAAAATCTATCCAATTTGTATTACACTCATCTGCAGATGTAAAAGTTTCCACGCGGGAGAGAGTATTTTGGTTGCCATAGCAACAAAAAAGCAGCTTGGCATTTTACATACATTGCACATGGAACTATAAAAACTATTTGTGCGCCATAGTAGGACTCTTTATACTTTTTACACGTGGTAGAGCCATGCTGCAGCTATATTAGTAGTATGGTTGTAGCACGAATGGGTCGACTCGACTCGACACAGAATACCAGCGTAAAATAGCAGCTTAATGCTGCTGTGTTTCGTATGGTGAGTGTAGAGAACCGGAGACCCTTTTTACTGGAAATGAGACATTCCATCTTAGTCCTCACGGGTGAAAACGCATCTGCATTTTGATTCGCAAACGAGGATAGATGTAGATGTCTATGGGTTACAGCAACCACTTATCATCAAGTGGACTGTGTGCTCGTTTATCACTCTATCCTATATAAAAAAAAACTCTTTTCCTGTCTAGAAATCCATCTGGGCGGGTACCACCGTCTTACCTAATTCTGTCGATCAATAGCAGTGCCTGCATTATTGTGTTCCGCTCTGATGGTTATAGAGTCAGTTTGATTACAGGCTGTGAGGCATTCCATCTTAGTCCTCAGGGGTGACGACGGATCTGAAGCCTTATTATTATAAAGTTCGCTGCAAGTGTTCATGGACTGCAGTAGATAGTATTTTCTACAGACTTCAAAAAGGAGCAGGTACTCAATTCGACTGTATCTTTTTTATGTGTGTTACCTAATAACTTTTTACTGGGTGAACCGATTACGATGATTCTTTTTTATTTGAAAGCTGATGCTTCATATGTTGTCCCATATAAATTTGATTAAGGTCTGGCCAATAGTTTTTGAGTTATTCTTAATAGTTTATATTGAAGTCGGTTGTACAAAATTTTTAATTTTTAATTATTATCTATAATTTAGTTTTTAATTGTCAGTTTATTGTTACTGGCCATATCTCTAACAAAATAGAAA